TTACAGGCATGTGCCACCACACCCAGCTAATTTTTGTATTTTTAGTAGAGATGGGGTTTCTCCATGTTGGTCAGGCTGGTCAAACTCCTGACCTCCCAAAGTGCTGGGATTACAGGTGTGAGCCACCATACCGGGCCTCCTTTGTCTTTTTTTTATGTTTTTTGGTTTAAAGTCTTCATTTTTCAGAAACTAGGATTCCAAACCCTGATTTGGCTGCTTTTTATTTGCTTGGTAAATTTTCCTCCATCCATTTATCTTGAGCCTGTTTTTGTCTTTGCATATAAGATGGGTATTTTGAAGACAGCATACCAATATGTCTTGGTTCTTTATCCAGCTTGTCATTTTATGTCTTTAAATTGGGACATTTGCCCATTTACATTTAAGGTTAGTGTTGTTATGTGTGGATTTGATCTTTTTATCATGATACTAGCTGGTTATTTTGCAAACTTGTTTATGTGATTGCTTCATTATGTCACTGGTCTGTGCACTTAAATGTGTTTTTGTAGTGGCTAATAACAGTTTTTCCTTTCCACATTTAGTGCTTCCTCCAGGAGTTCTTGCAGTGAAGGTCTGGTGGTAACAAATTCTCTCAGCATCTGCTTGTCTGAAAATGATTTTATTTCTCTTTTGCATATGATGCTTAGTTTGGCCGGACATGAATTTTGGGGTTGGAAATTCTTTTCTTTAAGAATGTTGAATATTGGCTCCCGATTTCTTCCAGCTTATAGGGTTTTTCACTGAGAGGACTACTCTTAGTCTGATGGGCTTCCCCTTGTATGTGACCTGGCCTTTCTCTTAAAATTTTTTTCTTTCATTTTGACCTTGGAGAACCTGATGATCATTCATTGGGGATGATCTCATGGAGTGTCTTACTGGAATTCTCTGCGTTTCCTGAATTTGAATGTTGGCTTGTCCAGCTAGGTTGGGGAAGTTCTCTTGGATGATATCCTCAAGTATGTTTTCCAACTTGGTTTCATTCTCCCAGTCTCTTTCAGGTACCTCAGTCAGCCATAGATTCAGTCTGTTTACATAATCCCATATTTCTCAGAGGTTTTGTTCATTCCTTTTCATTCTTTTTTTGTTGTCTGCCTGACTTATTTCAGAAAGATAGTCTTCCAGCCCTGACATTCTTTCCTTTGCTTAGTCTATATTGCCATTAATACTTTTGATTGTATTGTGAAGTTCTTGTAGTGTGTTTTTCAGGTCTAACAGGTCAGTTATTTTCCTCTCTAAACTGCCTATTTTGGCTGTCAGCTCTTGTATTGCTTTATCAAGATTCTTAGCTTCTTTTCATTGGGTTACAACATGCTCCTTTAGTTCAGTGAAGTTTATTATTGCCTACGTTCTGAAGCTTACTTCTGTCATTTCAGCTATCTCAGCCTCAGCCAAGTTCTGAGCCCTTGCTGGAGAGGTGTTGTGGTCATTTGGAGGAACAGGGGCACTCTGGATTTTTAAAATTTTTGCGATTTTGTGTTCTTTCTCGTCTTTTTGGGCTTATCTACCTTATATCTTTGAGGTTGTTGACCTTTGGATGGAGTTTTTGTGTTCTGTTGTTGTTGTTGTTTTCCCTTTGTTTTTCCTCTGACAGTCTGACCACTGTTCCACAAGGCTGCTGCAGTTTGCTGAGGGTCCACTCTAGCCTCAGTTTTTCTCATACCTGGAGGTATCTCTAGTGAAGACTGCAAAACAGCAAAGATGGCAGTCACCCTATTCCACTGGAAGCTCCATTCCAGAGGAGTACTGACCTTTTGCCAGCTCAAACATGCCTATAGGAGGTTACTGGAGACCTGTTTCATCATCTTTTCCAGTCAGGAGGAACAAGATCAGGCACCCACTTAAAAACGCATTCTGACTGCATTTTGGTAGAGCAGCTGTGCTATGTTGGTGATCCCTTCAACCCCTGATCAGTTTGGCTTTTCAATGGCCACAGGATGGACCAGCTGATAAGCCCAAACAGCCAAGGTGGCACCCTGCCTTGCCCCTCAGGCATTCCATCCCAGGGAGAGGAAGTGGGGAGGGGTGGCCAGAGGTTCCAGCTGGGAGGACCCACCTCATGAGGAGTGGATCAGGGTCCCACTTAAAAAAGTAGCTTGATCATGCCTCAACAGAACAGCTGTGTCATAGTGGGGAACCACGTTTGCCCTTGTGCACTTAGACTCTCCAAATCTCCAGGCTGGAACAACTGAGTGACTAACCAACCCAGGTGGTGGCCCTCCCCTTTCCTGGGCACTCCATCCCAGGGAGAAATTAGAGCTCTTTCCCTAATATGTGCCAGCAGGCATGGCTGAAGGGTCCTGCTGGGAGATTTTGTCCAGTGAGGAGGAATAGATTAGTGCCCTGCTTAAAGAAGCAATCTGGCTAAAATCTGGCAAAGCCGTTGTGTTGCACTACTCAGGGGACCCTTCCTCATCTGGATTGTTGGACTCTCTTAAGCCCACAGGGTGGAACTACTGAGTTGTCTAACTAACCCAGGTGGTGGCCCTTCCCTCCCTCTGGCACTATGTCTCAGGGAGAGATGAGAGCTCTATCTCTAATAGTGCCTGCGGGCATGGCTGGAGGATCTGGCTGGGAGTTCCTTCCCAGTGTGGAAGAATAGATTGGGTCCCACATAAAGAAACAGTCTGGGACAATTTGTCCAAGCCACTCTTCTGTGCTGCTGGAGCGTGGGTGCCTTTCTCTTCCAGACCATTTGAGCTCTCCAAAGCCCACAGGCTAGAATAGCTGAGTTGACCAGATAGTGGAGATGGTAACTGCCCCTCTTTCTGGGGCTCAGTTCTCAGGCAGGCTCCAATCTGTTGCCCGAGCCTGGCTAGGATTCCAAACCAGTGGTTCTTATCTTGTGAGGTGAGGTAGAAATGGGGCCTGCAGAACATGCTGCTCGGCTCCCTGGATTCTACCCACTTCTTAGGGGTATATCCAGACCTCCTCTCTTGCCTGAGTTGCAGACACATTCATTGGGGATCTCAGGGCCAGAGTACCAAAGCTCCTTGGGTCTCTGTGCCTGCTAGAGCAGCCGCTCCACAAGACTCCATATAGCTCTGTGTCAGACCCAAGGCTCTGGTGGCATGGGCTCACAAGGGGATCTCCTGACCCATGGGTTGCAAAGATCCGTGAGAGAAGCATGGTTTCCCAGGGTCACACAGTCACTCACTGCTTCCTTTGGCTGGGGGTAGGGTTTCCCTTAGCTCCATGTCATTCCCAGGTGGGCCATTGCCCCACCCTGCTTTTGTTCTCTGTGTGTCCAGTAATTTCCCTAATAAGTCTCAATATGAGAACCTAGATATTTCAGTTGAAAGTGCTATATTTACTCGTCCCTTGCATTCCTTTCCTTGAGAGTAGTGGACCACAGCTGCTTCTAATTGGCCATCTTGGCCCCTCCCCCTTTATTTGGCTTTTCTATCTTTTTCTCTTAGTCTAGCTAATGGTTTGTCTACTTTGTCTTTTTAAGAACCAACTTTTTCTTTCATTATTCTTTCATATTGTTTAATCTCTATTTTATTTCTGCTCTCATCTATATTATTTTTCCCTTCTGCTAATTTTAGGTTTGGTTGGTTCTTGCTTTTCTAGTTCCTTGCGGTGCATCATTGTATTCTTTTTTTCAAATCTACTGTTTTGATATAGGCATTTATTGCTATATAAACTTCCGTCTTAGTACTGCTTTTGCTGTATCTTACAGGTTTTTGTTTATTGTTTTTCCTTTTTGTTTTTGGAAACTTTATTTTCTCCTTAATTTCTTTATTGACCTAGTGGTCTTTCAGGAATACATTTTTTAATTTCCATGTATTGGTACAGTTTCCAAATTTTCTCTTTTTATTGATTTCTCGTTTTATTCTATGTTTGTCTAAGAAGATACTTGATATGATTTTGATTTCTTTACATTTCAGACAATTTTTCCTTAACATGTTTTTTGTCATGGAAAATGTTCCATGTGCTGATGAGAAGAATGTGTATTCTGCAATTGTTGGATGAAATGTTCTGTAAATGTCTATTTGGTCTATTTTTTCTGTAGTGCAGTTTATGTCTGATATTTCTTTTTTGATTTTCTGTTCAGATGATCTATCCAGTCTCTCCTGGCCTGGAAGGTTTCTGCTGAGAAATCTCCTGTTAGTTGATGTGAATTCCATAATATGTGACTTGCTGCATTTCTCTTGCTGTTGACAGAATTCTGATTCTGACTTTGGCAGTTTGACTATAATGTGCTTTTAATTCAACCTTTTCAGTTGAATCTCTTTTGAAGTCTTTGAGCTTTCTGTATTTGGATGTCTAGATCTCTTCCAAGACTTGGGAATTTTTCAGTTGTTATTTCATTGAATATGTTTTTTATCCATCTCTTGTCTTCTAGAACTTCCACAAGTCAAAAATTTGTTTGCTTGATGGTGTCACAAAGGCTTTCTTTATTCTTTTTCCTTTTATCTTTTTTTTTTCCTGCATAGGTTATTTCAAAAGATTTGTCTTCAAGTTCAGAAATTGTCTTTTGCTTGTCCAGTCTATTGTTGAAGCTCTCTGTTGTATTTTTAATTTCATTCATTTAATTCTTAGTTCTAGAATTTGCATTGTTCTTTTTTAATGTCTTTGTTGGATTTCTCATGTAGGTCATTAATTGTTCTCCTGAGTTTTAAATCTTGTTTATTTGTTTTCTTGTATCTCAATTTCCCTAACATCATTTTTTTAATGCCTTTTCAGGCACTTCATAAACTTCATTTTCTTTGGAGTCTGTTACTGGAAAAGTATTGTGTCATTTGGAGGTATTGTGCTTTCTTGTTTCTTTTGACCTTACATTAATTTCCACATCTGCTATAATTTCCACTTCATTCATTTTTATGGAGTAGCTCCCATGGGGAAAGAGTTTCTCCTGTAGGTGTGTCTATAATATTGGTTGTGTAGGGTGCTTTGGCTTTGGTTCTGCATGGGCACCACAGTGTAGTCTCCTTTGATTACTTCAGCTGTAATCAATTTCAGCAGTGTCTTTGAGTTTCTTAGTGGCTCAGGTTACAGCTGATTGGTGGAGGCTGTGATAAGTCTTTGGGACAGCAATGCCAGGTAGACTGGTCCTCAAGCCCCTAGATAGTGCATATGGGCACTGGCATTCACTTGCCCTGAGTATGTCAATCTTTGGATCATGGTTGGGCCATGAAGGTGTCAACAGTGGTGGCAGCAGACCCTGGGTAGGCCAGCCCTCACTCAGGGCATACAGGTCCCAGTATGCCAAAATGTTTGCTCCTCAGGCCCCTAGGCCAGGTATTCCCTGGGCCCCTGGGAGGAACATGCAGGTGCTGGCAGTGTCTGCAGTAGACCAGTGGGTGGGTCCATTAGTCCTTAGGTAGGACATACTGGTGTTGGCAATGTCCATGACAGGCTAAGCAGGTGTCATCTTTTAATGTTTTGAAAACCTTTTTAAATGTTTTTTACTTCCTACAAAATATACAGATTCCAAATGAAGAAACTCAGTCTCTGTCCCCTGCTTTGTTACATTACTGCTTCTCTGATTTATAATTTTCTATGTTTTCCACTGGCTGTTTTTAACATGCTATTTTCAGTAGAAATTCTGATATATGTTGGCTTGCTTTATTCAGCCTATAGATCTTGGCTGAATGCTATATGACAGGTATTGTGCCAGGAGGTATGGTAGAAAAACTTTTCCTGAGAAATTAGATTAGCTTGGCATTCAATGATTATTTAAAGTAATTCTATGAAAGTTATGTGAAAATCTAGATTAAATTCATAAATGGACTACCATCTCAAGTTAGTATATTGGTTAGGTTTTCACAATAGTCCAGTGGATGGCCTCACAACATAAAGCAATTCATACATATTTCATTTTGGAAAGCGCATATAAAAATCTGATTGATTGATTGATAGGTAGAAAATCTTATTATAATAATCACTCAAAATCCTACTCTTTTAGCATTTTCTGCCACTTATATTGCTTATTTCTGATTTCTAATAGAAAAACAAGGAGAACATAATGAGGCATTACAAGTAGGCAGAAAAATATAGATGCACATAGTTTACAAAGCCCTTCAGGTCATCTTGTAACAAAGTTTTGATCATTTTTCTTAGACCAGAAGATCAATTCAGAAGTTAATAGAATGGGAAAATAACAGATTATATCACAAGGTAAGAAATTTTAAGTAAATAAGTGCCCCATTCATATATTTACAGTATTAAATTGAAAAAAAAATACAAAATGGGATTTTTTTAGGCCACAAAGGAATGGATTAGGGAACTAATACTCAATTTTTAATATATATTCTTTACAAGGTATTTTTAAGTGCTCTGTTTTGTATCCTGTACTTTTCCTGGATTGTTTTCAGTGATTTATTCAAATGTATAGGTTGTAATTAGTTTAAGTTAATATAAAAATTCTTAACAAGACTATACTTTCTTAGCTTGCTTTGCACTGGAAGTTGACTAAGAGGAAATGTGAATCTAGCAATATGATGGAGTATGTAAGTATGAGGTTGTTTTTAATTATTTTTTGATTCATTCTAAATGTATCATTTCCCTATGTTTATCATTTGTCAACTATTCCTTCTTTTTTTCTCCTCAGCCAGAACTTTTGTCCATTGAAATATAGAGGTTTTCTCCTATCTTCTTTAGATTTGTAGCCAACCTAAAATATCTTGAAAGCTAACCATCATTTGAATCTTAGAAAAGTTTCAGTTAGTATGCTGAAATGAAAACATTGTACAACCTTAATCCTCTTTTAACATAGGCATAAGCCGTAGCATGTGGTGATGGGGAAAGCTGCTGTTGAACAAAATATTTCTAAATGTAATCTTGTCAAAACTTGCATAAAATAGGAATTAATGTCTGAATTCTGGATTGCTGTTACTGGCTTTTTTTTTCCTGGCTGAAATTTAACTTTTAGTGAAGAAACATAAGTTCTAATTGTATTTTAACTGAAAGCTATGCAATCTTAGTCATAAGACATAAATTTACATACAGCCCATATGATCAATTTAGCATCAACATTGAAAAGAATATTAAATTTATCCAAGCTTTCAACATGTAGTATATATTTAACAACAAACATTCCATGTGTGTTTTGTAAGTAAGGATTATTATGGTATCTCTCTCCACTTTGAATAATTTTGGGGAAAATGTGCAAATGACCACAAGTCTAAAATTCATTATAGATAAAGCATTCGAAAATATCGAAGTTTTTGAAAATTATATTTCTAAACCTTTTTGTAATTAAAATGTTTTACTCAATCCATTTGGATACATTATTATTTTTCACAACTTATGAAAGGTAATAATCTCCAATTAATATCAGTTACTTTAATTGAAAAATATATGTCTAATATAAAGGTGTTTTTTAATCTGTATAGCATTTTTTTAATCTCTTCTACTTTGCTAACAAAAAGATTAGGGTGTGAAGGAAGAACATAAAGTAATAGGGTTTGCTCCTCTGAACCTAGACAAATAGTTATTGTAAATCAGATAGTAAAATCTGTTAGCTACAATAAGTAGTTTTGTTTGCCAGCTTAATTTTTAAATTGCCAATCTAATAACTTGTGATTTAAGTTCTTTACATATTTTTTTCATGTATTTCACTTTATATGACAAAGGATTGAAATATTGTCCTATGTAAAATGATTATAGACTTTCTGCATTATTTATAAGTTATATAAAATGAAAAATATTTTGTCAATATATTCTTGTTTTTATTTTACAGGTAATACTAATAGAATTCTTACCAAAATATCCCATATTTCGACCTGACTGAGGAGTTTTATCCAGTCACTTCTGTGTTACCTGTCATTTCCTACCCTTAGTGCCTTGTAGATTTGGAATGAAGATGGTCTCCTTTGCTGTGTTCAACTTATTCTTTATAATGGTAGAATATTCTTCTAGCTCTTTTATGTTGGTTTATGAAGAAAATTTGCACATCTTTTTTGTTGTTAAATGAGGCTTGTGTTTTGCACTCTCAATTTTAAATAAGTACACACACGTGTGTGTCCATATACATATGTAGATAGTTGCCATTAAAGATAAACCATCAGTGCTGGTATTTAAAAACAAAAACTTGTTCTGAGCATGCTGCCTTATAATTTTCATACTCATTGATCTAAACTCGCATCATTTTTCTAGGCTACTTGATGCTCTGTAATCCCTTACTGGACAAACTTAAATAAGCTTTTGATAGCTCCTAGAAATGGTTTTACTCTGCTTTTAAAGAAAATGCTTTAAAAGGACATGCAATTAATGGCACTGGTTTTGTCCTGCACTTTGCTTTATCACTTCTGTTAGTGGATAAAATATTCAAACTCCTAAAGACTTGTAAATATCGCCTCTTTGCATAATGTAAAATGTGGTATGCCATGGTTTACAGAATGCAATATTACTCTTACTGTATTGCCAACAATTTTTCGTAGATTTTAATATGAATGAAGTTCGCAAGCATCCCTTTGAATCTAGAGACTTCTGACATGCTGTTTTATGGCAAGGCCATAATGACTTCAGGTGTAGGGCAAGTTTGCCCTTTGTAATAAGTGGATTAAAATTGAAATCATTATCTCAGATATTATGTATTGCACCTGAAACCATGACCTTTATTTTTTCCATTTCATTTAATAATTTCCATTTTGTTCTCTACTCCTTCCCACAAAAATACTGTTTGACATCTGACACATTTCACAATCTCACTATCCTTCATTATTTCCCTTTTTGTAGTTCTTTCCTACTTTGAAAATACACACAATTATGACCTTTAAGGAGTATTTTGAGATTTCAGATGTCTTCAGAAGGTATCTAGACCGCCTTGAAAGCCACTAACCCCCTTCTGGAGTTCTGATATTGTAGTTTGAGAAAGAGAGAGAATTAATTGAGAAGCTGTAGCTGCAGAGTATATAGCAGCTGATTAATAATTGAAAAAAATATTCTCAATTCTGTTTTTGAAGATCTTTTTTAAAACATTTAGATATCAAGGAAGAAAGACAAGTGTTTAGACGAAAGTATTTTAGTTTATAAATTCAGCACATATGTAACATTTATTTGGTATATATTTCTCTATTTTTCTTCACAAGTAAAATGATTGCTAGCACCATACACTAGAATTTGAAAATTCAGTATAATGAAAGCTTTATATCACATTAATTCAACTGAAAATGTATGCCTGTTTGTAGGCATTATTTGTAATTCATAGTGCTAAAAAGAGAAATGTCTAGGGCTGAATAATATTTTGTCATCTTACTGTTTTTAGTAAACCTTTTAGGCAAGATTCATCTCAGTGAACTGAAAATTATTTCTTTATGCAAGGTCGAGCCTTTTTAAGCCACTCTTAAAATTTATCTTTGATCAGTTTTAAAAAAGAGAGAAAAAGAAGACACTATTTGATATGTGGTTATAATTGTTTGCACAAACACTTTTCCACCTTCCTCTGTAGAGCCCTTTTACCTCCATGCCACTCAGCCACCCCAAATCTCTAACCTTTAATAATAATGTGTATGCCTGCAAATGTCATGTGTTTGCCTGCTGCAAAATTGAAGATGTATTTTTATAGACAAGGTAGAAGCCTCTGAAAATGTATACCAAATGTCTTGTTTTATAGCTAAGGTCAGGGAAAATTGTATCTGAGGTTTATGTTCCAGCTAATGTCATCAAATTTATGCTTCAAACTGATATTTTAATAACAAAATTGATTTTCAGCATAATACAAAATGTCTCATTATCACTGATAGAATAATTCCTTTTGTTAATCCTTAAAAATCTTACTTTTTTCTGTAACCTTAGAATTTGAGCACACAATAGTCATAGTAACTTTTTCTGCCACATATAAATCACACTTGGTTTTGCACAAAGGACAGCAGGAAGTGGTGAATTGTTTCCATGAGACAATTATTGAAAATGGGAATAAGGTGTATCTGGAAATGCCACAGTATAATTTAGTTGCAGTAGCATTTGTCACAAAAACCATTTGTCAGTATGCATGAACTTAATTTTAAAGCTTATTCTAGTCACCCAAGTTTATTATTTTATTGTTCATTATGCTGATTGACTCATCTTAGTTTCTTCAACTACCCAAAAAATACCAATTTTTTTTCTCTTTTTTGAAAAAGTATAGCTACTTTTTCAAACTGTTTTTCTTTGCAGGGGGCTGATTAGCAATTGGATATTTTGCAATGTTTTGAGGGGGTTGCTTTGTTTTCAGTAAAATTGGTTGCAGTGAATGCTAAAATGACACAGCATACTGTGGTGATTAATTCCTCCCCCATGGAGTCTTTTTTCTGTTATGCTTAGGATAGAACATAGTTGTAATTTTCCATTAGTAACATACTTTTGTGAAAGTTGTTTTTAGGCTGAAGAAATTAAGTTTGTATTTCTTTGTTTCATAATATTCCTTTATGAAACTTGTGATAGTTTCCAGAGAAAAATAACATGTATTTGCCAAAGTATATAAATCTCACAAGGCATTGAGGTTACAAACTAAAATTGTGTTTTAAAATTAACAATGTTTCAATGTCTCTCATTTGGCCCAAGATTCTGGCTTAATAAATTTGTTGAACTGGCTATTTTTAAGCTTGTCCCACAGGCCAATAACATGTTTATCCCTAATAACTAATATGGGCAAGCGTCATTTACAGATTTATTAACTCCATCCCATATATATCTCCACTCTTTGTTCCTTCCAAACACTTATATTTAGGAAAGAGACCACTGTAGTAAAACTTTAGAAGAAGATGGAGAAGTGCCTTGTCTTTTTAGAACAAAGATAACACATTACGCTTAAGAAAACATAATAAATGAATTGGCAGATCATTAGATCATTAGAAATCATCCTTTTCAACTAGGTCTAAGAATATTTTATTAGTGTATTATCTTTTATTTATTATGCAAAGCCTCTTTCCTTCTGTTTCCCCAGTCATTAAATATTAGTGACAAGATATAACAGAACAAGACTATCAGTCACTTAAAAATAGTATAATTCTAATGCTAGTAAACATGTAATTTAAAGTAGTTCTGGAAGAACAGTTGTCTTTGATTAAAGCCCTACCAAAACCCACTTAAGTATTTAATGTACATACTAGTCATATTTTCATGGCCTGTAAACACTAATATCTGAGCAATTAATCAAACTGTTTTATCACTCTACCATTTTTAATGAAATTTGAACAAAGTTTAAAAATGTGTAAGCCTTTGAACAAATGTATGAAAGCTTTAAAAGATCATTAGCATTTTTATTTCGTTTACAAATAAGCTGCCAAAAAAAAAAAAAACCTCACTACTTGAACATAAAGCTTCCAAACAATATTTTATTAAAATGTACTCTATTGACCTAGGAGGATATAGAAATTATATTCACCTGATTAACTGGATCAGTTTCACATAGTGGAAATACTTTTTGCTAATTTGATTATAAGTGCTCAAATTTATTGAAATTAGATCCTCTTATGCCTATAAAAGTATGCTTTAAAAATATTTTGCAACAACCATCAAATTATTTGGGTTCCTATAAATAGAAAACAGTTGGGAAATTTTTCACAAAAATGAATAGGTTTTATTAATACCTGTTCATGTAGTCTGTAGACTTAAACAAGTGATACCTATCTATATATATATATAAATGAATGATCTTATCTTTCCCCACATTTTTCTTACCTGATTCTGAGCCAGCCTTTTTGTTTTGATGGCAGCCTGTGTGTATGTTCCATTTTCTGTGAACTTTGTCACATTCATACTATATGAGGAAATGATCTAATATTGTGGGCCCCAGGCAGGTCATCTTAATGGCATGTTATCTCTTTTCCTGTAAAATTATTCGGTGGAACTTAGAGCTGGACAGAAAATTAGAGATCACTTAACATTCTGTGATTCTAGAAATTCTAGAAATTTTTACTCTAGAATCTCAGAATGATTATTCTCAGATCTACTGTCCTTGGTGAAAACTCTCACAGTGCCTTGCATGCAGTAAAAGTTTGATTGCCAACTGGCTGCTAGCTGACGTGTTGTTAATTATCACACAGACTCCCAGAACCTGATGCCTTAGTTCCTTGGTGATGCTAAGAGTAAATGTAGTTTTCCTAGGAACTGAGCACTGAGGTCTGTGTGCTTTGCCTGTGTGGAATCTGTCTCTGCAGTTGGTATTCAGGCAAGAATTATAGCTGTAACAACAATGGAAATATGGAGGACCCACTTTGACATTTATGTAAAGATTTCATATTCTATCCAATGTCTACTTTACTGTCTTATCAAATTCCATACCCTCAAACAGATCTGTTGGAACATATTGATAAAATTAGATGTAAAGGAAACTGGTATGCGATTCAAACCCAAGTCACTTCTGGTTTAATTCTTGGCTCTGCTGCATAATTCTTCTGTACCTCATGTCCTCATTGTTGAAGTGGGGACAATAATCTGGACCTACCTCACAGGGGAATTGAGGATATTTTCATAGATTAGTGTGCTTTGAAGTTGACTGAAAGATATACTGGATATCATAATTATATAATTTCTAAATAGATTTCTTTAAATCCATGCTATGTTTTCTTTCTCAGTCAGGTCCTACAGAATGACTGTTGCAGTTGATCTGTTGTTTTAATAGTAAATTTTGTTATTAATCCCCTATGTGTTAAACATGAGTAATTGTATTATGCAATACTGGATTTAGGAAGGAAAAGCAGGTGGATGTAACCAGTGGTTCCCAACTTCAACGGATGAAGACAGCAGTGGGGGTTATCCTTGAACTTTTTTTAATTTTTCAAAAAGTATATTAGAAACCTTACATTTACCCATAATATTCCTGATTTACAAGCCAATTGAGACATTGAATTTCCATGCATTTTGCCTGTGTTCTCTTAATTCTATGTTATTACTGCTTGCTTATTAACAACTGATAAAAAGCTGTGAATGACAGTATGATTTTGATTAATAATTAAATAAGAAAGCCTATTATATTCAACTTATTAAATACTTGAAAACATGGGAAAGGAATAATGAAGGGATACTTAGGCTGAAAATGTTGGGAACCACTTTTATAAAGGAACTAAGATTATTTGACCCTCTCCACAGATTATTTACCTAGTCTCTAAATAATGAAATGTGTGTATGTGTGTTTTGGCTATATTAGGCTATATAGCTTCAGCTTAGAATTTGCCTTTGGTTTTTTTCTTCTGTTTCAGAATATAACTGGCCTAATTTATTTAGGTGTGTACATGTTACTCATACATGCACATACATATAGGATTACAAATGTGGAAAGTGTTATAATGTCATATTCTAGCATTGGACTAAATATCAATTCCTAACTCTTAAAGTAGTTCTATACATAAATTTAACATGATGAATCAAGGCAATAATTTCTCAAATGTTCCTTTTATTTCTTTGTTTTTATCTTGGCTTTTTTTTTTAATTTTCCATTCTTTCTACTACACAAAGAGTATAAAGTTGTTTTAATGACTGGACTTTGAAACAAGTAACAAGTGTTTGAAAGTATATAATCTACAAGCGAATTTGCCCTCCTTGGACTAACCACATACAAATATGAATCTGGCTGCAAGAACAGGATATCCAGATAACTAGAAAGCGGGCATTGATAAAAATATCTGCTGGAGAAGCCTAGGATTTTGACTTTTTGTCAGAGGATTCCTGTTGGGACAGCTTTACCAGAAAAGAGTAATAGTGGATATGTCCATCCAAACTGAGAACTTTAATGCGTCTTGTATTGTTACATAGCCTGTGGAATGAATTCATTTTTTCTCCCTTGAGTCCAGGAATGACTTTCCTGGAAAAACTCAATCTATATACAGCTGTGCCAAAATGAAGGATACTTGCCTCTCTGAAATTTTCACTGCTGCTTCTGTCATTGTTCACTTGTCAGATAAAATTTTATTATCTCAGGATGCAAAATTAAAATAAAGTGTAAATCTATGTTAACGAATTGAATTATGTGTTTTTGATGCATCTTCCTTTCTTCCCTTTCCTTTATATCCATCATTATAAGGCAATTAATTGAGGCTTCTTTTAAAAATTGTATTTTATATCTGGCCTTTTTCCACATTTACTAGTGTTATGTTCAATCCTATAAGTAATTTATGTTATAAAGTCATGCCTCAGGGAATTGTGAATTCAGTTGCAGACAGCCACAATAAGCCACACAAATTTTGGGGTTTCCCAGTGCATATAAAAGTTGTATTTACACTACAATGTAGTTTGTTAAGTATGCAATAACATTATGTCCAAAAAAAAGTACATACCTTAATTTAAAAATGCTGTATAGCTAAAAAATACTAGTGATCATCTGAGCCTTCCACAAGTCATAATATTTTTGTTGGGGGAGGTCTTGTCTCAGTGTTGATGGCTGCTGACTGATGGGGCAGGTCATTGCTAAAAGTTAGGGTGGCTTTTGCAATTTCCTAAACCAAGGCAGTGAAGTTTGCCATATTGCTTGATTCTTCTTTTCACAAATGGTTGCTCTGCAGCATGCAATACTGATTGATAGCATTTTACCCACAGAACTTTCAAAATTGGAGTCAGTCCCCTCATACCTAGCTACCACTTTATCAACTACGTTTGTGTAATACTCTAAATCATTTGTTGTCATTTCAACAGTATTCATAGCATTTTCACCAGGAGTAGATTCCATCTCAGGAAACCACTTTTTTGCTAATCTATAAAATAAGCATCCATTCAAGTCTTATCATGACATCGCAGCAATTCAGCCACATCTTCAGGCTCCACTTCTAATCCTCTTGCTGTTTTTACCACACCTGCAGTTACTTCCTCCACTGAAGTGTTGAACCTCTCAAAGTCATCCATGAGGGTTGGAATCAACTTCTTCCAAACTCCTTTTAATGTTGATATTTTGACATTCTATGAATCACAAATGTTTTTAATGGCACCTAGAACACTGAATCCTTTCCAGTACATTTTCAATTTACTTTGCCCAGAGATCAATCACAGGAATCACTATGTATGGCAGCTATAGCCTTACAAAATAGATTTCTTAAAAAAACTTGAAAGTTGAATTACTTGTTGATCGATAGGTTGCCTGATCGATATTGTGTTAGCAGTCATGAAAACATTAATTTTCTTGTACATCTCCATCAGAGCTTGGGTAACTAAGTGCATCATCAATGAGCAGTAGTATTTTAAAAGGAATCTTTTTTATTCTGAACAGTAGGCCTCAACAGTGAAACAAAATAGTAAGCCATGCTGTAAACAGACATGCTGTCATCCAGGCTTTGTTATTCCATTTGTAGGACATGCGCAGAGAACATTTAGCATAATTCTCAAAGGTCCTGGGATTTTTAGAATGATAAACGAGTATTGGCTTCATTAGCCTCTAACAAGAGAGTCAGCTTGTCCTTTGAAGCTTTTAAGCCAGGTATTGACTTCCCATCTCTAGCTATGAAAGTCGTAGATGGTACCTTCTTTCAATATAAGGCTGTTTTGCCTACATTGAAAATATGTTATTTAGTGTAGCCAACTTCACCTATGATCTTAGCTAACTCTTCTGTATAACTTGTTGCTTCACCTTGCACTTTTATAGAAACAGCTTCTTTCCTTCAACCTTATGAACCAATCTCTGCTAGCTTCAAACTTTTCTTCTTCTCCTTTCTTACCTCTCTCTGCTGTTATAGAATTGAAGAGAATTAAGGCCTTGCTCTAGATTAGGCTTTGCCTTGTGGGTGTGTTGTGGCTGGTTTGATCTTTGATCTTCTATCCAGACAACTAAAAATTTGTCCATTTCAGCAATAAGGCTGTTTTGCTTTCTTATCATTCATGTGTTCACTGAAGTAGCACTTTTTATTTCCTTTAAGGCTTTTTCCTTTTCATTCACAACTTGCTAACTAGTGACAGAGGCCTAGCTTTCACTTTCTCTCAGCTTGATATATACCCACACACACACACACACACTAAGTTCTGGGGTACATGTGCAGGGCGTTCAGGTTTGTTGCATAGGTATATATGTGGCTTTTGACATGCCTTCGTCTCTAAACTTAATCATTTCAAGCTTTTGATTTAAAGTGAAAAACATGCATCTCTTTTTTTCACTTGAATGCTGAGAAGCCATTGTAGGCTTATTAACTGGCCTAGTTTCAATATCATTTTGTCTCCCGGAATAGGGAGGCCTGAGGAGGGAGAGAGCTGGGGGAACACCACATCAGTGGCAGTGTCAAAACACAACGTTTATTAAGTTTGCTATCTTACATAAGTGTAATTCATGGTCCCCCAAAACAATTACAATAGTGACACCAAAGATCATTGATCACAAATCACCATAACACATTTTAATAATGAAAAAGTTTAAAATTCTGTAAGAATTACCAAAACGTGACACAGAGACATGATGTAAGCACATGCTGTTGGAAAAAGTGGCGCCAATAGACTTATTTCCACAAATCTTCAATTTGTAAAAACCACAATATCTGCAGAGCACAACAAAAGGAAACACATTAAAATGAGGTATGCTCGTATATTAGATTTGGAGACCTGTGTTGTGCCCAGCATTTGGCATTTGGCTAAATAGGAAGTTATTTCTAAATGACTTTGCATTTATTCTGCATAGCTGCCTTTAAACTGTAAAATTAAAGTACAAGTATAGTTCCACCTTAGCATAAATTTTTAGTGCAAGGATGTGGAAATGTGAAGCTACTTGGCAAACATTTTTACTCTTCAGCAGATTGTGTAAGAAATTCAAGTGTTAACATCTTCTACCTGAGCTACTACTCAGGCTGATACATGCAATAATAGATATTTTTAAGGTTAGGCCTAATTTTTGCAAATTCAAAGTACAACATATACAAGACAAACATTAATATTTCCCAATATATTTGGTAATTTTACTGAATATTTTGAAAAGACTATAAGTTTCAAAATGTTAAAACAGAGATGCCAACACACTAAAACCTACATAAAAGTTTCATAATGCTTTGTTTTAATTTTTTGAAACTTTATTATATGCATGGAGCAAAAAAGCATACTTTTTATTGATGACTTCTTAGGTGTGAGGTAAAATATGCTATATGTGAAATACTTTTACATTTAACTTTTTATTGAGGACTGAAGCCACATGACTTCATTATTAAATACTTAATACTTCGTAAGATACTTAACTTACATAAATGTAGGAAATTCTCTGGGGGATAGTAGAATGATCCAGTTGTAATTACTAGGAATTTGAATTAAAATCCTTGGTCACCTAGGTTACCTCTATCAAAAACTTAACTACACTCAGTGAGCCTAATTTCGTCTGTCATACCCAAAGTAGGAGGCTGAGATAGATCAACATTGTAATATCCAGTCCTCAGACACGTCTTTTTTACCTGCAAAATTTCTTTTACACATTTTAACGGACTTAAAAGACTTCTAATAGAAATCCGGTTTTCTGACTTCCTTTGAATGTCTCATATGGACAATCAGCTAGAACTGAGTAGCAGCTTGTCCCTTTTAGATGGAAGATATATTTTCTGTTTTGCCATGGTCAACGCTGTTTCCTGTTGTCTCCCTGAAATCCAAGTTTTCTTATGATTCAGTTAAAAGGAAAGCAAAATATTTCTTGAACCCATGTTTCTTTCAAAATGGAAAAAATACAGACCATGATAGCTACATATAGTCTTTACAAAAATGGAGGGAGATGGAAATGGAGAGACTACTGTGTATATATGTGTAAGGGAAGCATTTTTTTTTAATTAAAATCACTTTCATTTGAAGTCCATTTTTTATTATATTTTAAGTTCTGGGGTACCTGTGCAGAACGTATACCATTTTACAAATGACCTGCTTCATTCATTGCTGTTATCTGTTGATTGTGGGCACTTGATTTCATTATCCCTGAGATCCCTTTGAGACAATCGCTAAAGTCTCATCTAATTCTGACATTGAGTTTCCATGAAATGATTCTTAGAACATTGGTGTATTTAAAATCATTATGCCTTTGAAAGTTTGTGCATGATGATGAATGGATGCTGTTTATGAAACTTGCTAAGCTTCCAAATAGAATAGTGGCATCACAGACTCCTTTTAGTGAAACAGCCACAAGCCAGGAAGATCAACATATTATTTTAAAACTTTTTTTTTTTTACTTCATGTCTTTTCAACAAAAGTTTGATCAGCCACCCAAAGAAGCATTGGCCTTATTATCTCCCAAGGGTGATATTTCCCAAGGTGATATTAACATGATTTAAAATGCTCTTAGTGGGAATCTATAAAACCTGAATTTTGTTTTCTTATGTGGACAAGACTACTAATTGGAATATTTTTCTTACATTACATTGAACCAAATTGGCATTAATCTACCGAAAATTTTTTATTTCAAAAGTAGGCTAAACTCATTAAGTTTAGACATTGCAACCAGAACTAAATCAGATTTTTTTTTTTAGTAGGGCCTATATTAAGTTCTGATGAATGAAAAATATGGCTATTAAGAGAATTTTTTCTTTATTGTAAAGATATATTTTCTAATAGAAGCAAGTATGAAGAAGAAAATTAATGTCTCTCATTAACCCCACCATCTACTACCATTTTAATATCTTTAAATTGCACTGTATATAGTACTTTTTTAAATTTTTATTTTAAGTTCCAGGATACATATGCAGACCATGCAGGTTTGTTACATAGGTAAATGTGTACCATTGTGGTTTGCTGCACCTGTCAACCCATCACCTAGGTATTAAGCCCCTTATGCATTAGCTATTTATCCTGATGCTCTCCCTCTCTCCCCCCACCAACAGGCCCTGGTGTTTGTTGTTCCCTTCCCTGTGTCCATGTGTTCTCCTTGTTCAGCTCCTACTTATGAGTGAGAACATGTGGTGTTTGGTTTTTTGTTCCTGTGTTAGTTTGCTGAGGATGATGGCTTCCAGCTTTGTCCATGTCCCCGAAAAGGACATGATCTCATTTCTTAATATGGCTGCTTACTATTCCATGGTGTATATGTATCACAT